TCTCTCTCTCTCTCTCTCTCTCTCTCTCTCTCTCTCTCTCTCTCTCTCTCTCTCTCTCTCTCTCTCTCTCGCGCGCGCGCGCGCGCGCGCGCCCTTTCCTCAAAGCCTAGGCCTTTAACTCTCCCGTCACCCCTTCCGCTCCGTTGCACGTGACTAACCTCTACCCTCACCTGTTTCATTGCCAGGGAACGAACGGCAAAGAAACTTGATCCTCACTTGGTGGAAAGCGAGGACAAGGGGAGGGTTGTCGGTCCCTTGTGCCACCAAGAAGGAAAGGTACCAGGCTGTTGTGAGCATCTGAGAAAGCGAAAGGAGTGTTGTTTTTGCAACGAGGTCAGTTTGACTCAACCATTTTCCCCGACTGCATGACTAAGGTAAGGGCATGGTTTGCTTGAGGGAAGGGAAAGACAACTAAGGGATTAACAAAGGCAAAGGAAACTTAGGCTTGTAGGAAGGGGCGATGTGTTGACCCCAATGGGGATTGTACTTGGTCCTTTGCTTTGTGTGGTCTTGCGCAGGTGAGTAGCTTGGGATGATCAGATCGGGACTGGATCCGCTGACGAGGGCAAGGGTGGGAAATTCGATAAAGGAAGGACTTAGACCTCGCATAAACTATGAATGCAGGATGGGTTTGACGGTCGAATGCTCGGATGAGTGGTAGACGCTTGGATGTGGCTTGTGTGATGATTGAATGCAATGTCTCTCTTGAATGCAATGCAAGCCCGGAAGGACTAAGGGTTGTCTTGGATAGAAGGACGCAATGCTAGTGGCTCAAGCAAAAAAAATATAGTGGCTAGGGATCCGGACGATGCCACCCCACCCCAAGGATGCCGTAGGGGCTGGCTTGCGCCACTAGACATAGTGAAAAGGTGTGTGGCCCAATGGATGACGCTTGGCCTACACACGAAAGAAGACGAAATCTCAATAAATTCCCTGGACTGCCTGTGTATTGGAAGGAGCAATCGCTTGATCACACTTAATTGAATCGAGAAAACGCCACGAGTGACCAAAGAGCCACCATCTTGACGCGAGAGCGGAGCTACATCCCCCAATGTAAAGCCCTCTCGCAAATGGCCCATCCCCTCCCATCTCATAGCACTAGGTGGGGGTGCCCCTGGGATGAACGACCCACGCCCTGAGCGTGAGCGTGGGCAGGTCGAGCCAAATGGGACCCGTAGTGGGGTCGACCAAGGCTCGAAAGTCCTCCAGGGTACGACCGCCTACAACGTGCTCGTGCTCTGAGTGTTCGACCGCGGCTATTCCGGGATATGCAGCCTGATAACGAATATTGTCCACATAGGCTCATCATGGTACGGAGCAGCGGAGTATACGGCTATAGGCCAAGATGCCTCCAGTTCCTCTGGAGATGGGAGCGGATGTTTGGAGACGGGTCGACTGTGACCGCCGTCTTGAACTACAGCCATTGCAAGCGGGAGGCAAGGCTGAAGATAAATGTTGAAAGGGAAAAAGAGAAAGAAATGAGGGTGGATCGAGGGTTACAAGCGGCCATCACGGAAGCCAGGGACCGTGCAGAGAGGAGGTGCAGGAGAGACGGAGTCACAGATGAAGTGAAAGTGACCGTTTCTTACGTGGAGGCGGAGACTTCGACGGACACGGTTGAGCCGGAGCAGAGGCACCTGGACCGCGACTCGGAGGCTGAGAGTGGGGCGAGCGACTTGAACGCAGAGACCCAGTCCTGGCACGGGTTGGACCAATGGCAGAGGGACCACCCGCGGGCTGAGCCTGTGGAGAGTGGTCCAGAGGCTAACTCCTGACGGCAACGGGACTAAGGGACTGGGGCAGTTACAGATCGAGCGCGCCTGTGACAGTGACGAGCAAGAACGAAAGGGAAGAGACCCCGCCAGAGCTGCGAGAGCAGCGGCTACCAGGAGGGAGGTTAATTTGCGGGGCATGGTAAAGGTTGTTTACTTGACCTGCGTGTTGCACGTCAACCACGATCCCCTTCCCTGCCCTGGTCACAGATCGAACAGTCCCGCGCTCGTACGTGGACTGTTGCAGTTGTCGACCATCAGAGTGAGCAAGCAGGAGAGGCTTTGCGCATGTGCTGCTCAGTTCCCTTATGATTAGTGAATAGAAAAAAGGTCAGCGCGAAAGTGAAAGAAGGTCAGCGTGGAAGTGATTGTGCGGTGATTGAAGCCAATGGAAATGCGATAAGGCTGGTTTTCGACTGAGAAAGAAGGGGACAGCGAGGGAGAGCGAGCAGTGTAGGCGTGAGGGAGTGTGGGTGACGTCATCAGCTTTCTCGCAGCCCTCCTAGCATGTGTGTGCCAGCCCAACCTCTGTCAGAGAGCACTCCAATGCATATGTACTGGTGAGGAAGTCAGCTCAGTGCAGGATCACGGGCAGAGGAGATGAGTGGGTTGAGCCATACTTTGATTTGGGTCGGTGCTATCTGCCTATGATGGATGATCTATGACTTTCCCTGCGCGAACCCTTTCATGAGCCTGAGCTTGCTCACTGCACCAAACATTTTAGTGGACGAGCTAGAGTGAATAAGTTGTATAAGAGACAAGTGAGACGTGCGGGTCTGTACTGCGAAGATCAACTCGTTCACCCCTGATAGCTCGATTGGTTCGATCTCATATTCTGTGATTGGTAAAGGAAGAGAGTTGTAGTCTTGGATGTCAGGAGCTGCGTACTGGATGTGCGTGAGGCTCGTGATTGACAGTGTTTGGGTTGGTTTTTCTATGCCTCTAATGTCAGTGATCCGCTGGCTACAGGATGAGGCTATTTACATTCCTTAACGGGTAGTGAACGAACGTGACATCTTGTTTTCCTGAGGGAGTGAGAGTAAGTGTATTTTGCTGACATCTCCAGTGTGGGTGTGAGACAATAACCTTACCCTCTTTCTTGACGTGGTACTGCGCGTGCAATCCTTGTGGTGGTGATTGGTCAAGGTGGGGAGAACGGATGACTGTATCAGGTACGAACGACTGACACCCTCCCTCGAGGTTAAGCAATGTGCCTTCGGTCGGTGATATGAGCTGACAGATGGCGTTATTGAAATTAGTCCTGGGTCAGCTCTAGCTACTTCGTAAATTCAATCCTCGTAAGAAAATTGTAACGGCGTAAACGAGGTGCTAGTTCAAACAAAAGGTTGAGGTAAGTGCTGGTTATAAAGACAAGGTGCCGAAAGCATGAGCCCACGGGATTGGGTGAGGGCGAAACTCTCATGAGCATCTCTCATAGTTAGCTAAACAGAGTTGTCGTTTACGGGAGTGGTCACTTTCACCACGAGGCTTGGCAGGGTGTGCTATTTGCCCATGTGTGAGTAGCAGTTGCTTGTTGAACTGTGAGTAAGAGTGGAGTCTCTAAATGTATGGAAAGTCCAGAGTCCAGCATCAGAACGCAGTCCACCTTTGAAGTATGTTGGGACTTGTAACTGATCCCCTTAAAGCACTTTTGAGATAGTAATAACGGTTGCTCCTTCTGCTCCCTGTCCTGTTTTCCTTCAGAAGCTAGTGGCCAGGCATCCCCGTGTCGGGTTTGGCGAGTTAGAGTGGTCAAGTGCCCGATTCTCGCGCGTGTTAAATGTGATTAGCAGGGTTTATCTCTTGGGGTGATAATCGGTGGGTAACAAGAGGATTAATGATCAAGTTATCACTGCAGGGCTTTGAGTCCTTCCTCCTGAGTAATGTTTCCTTTTTTTTCCTTTTCTTTTTTTTATTATTAATCAATCACTATACTGGGGAAAACTGGACAAGCCTTGGTTGATAGGTTGCTGGAAACTGGAGTCCTTGGCCATATATATGTGTCTTTCCGCTGGCATGGAGTAGGGTCGGGACCAGCCCCGATATGAGTACGCAAGTACCTTTTGACAATTTGATCTGAGAGCTTGGTGGGATGATGCTCGCTTGTCATACGCTTTATTTGGTTGATGGAGAAAAGGAAGGTACCGAGAAGAGTTGCTTATCTCCTTGCTAAGTTCCTGTTTGACGGTGATTAAAAGATCTTGCCTTGCCCAACATACAAACAAGTGTGTTAATCCCTCTGTATTCCATGGCGGTGAGCAAAAATGAGATGTTACATAGCAGGCCTCCAGTGCTATAGATGAGTTGGGGAAAAACGCTACAGTTGAACCCTTATGTCATGAGTTAACAGGGGTTGTGTTTAGAACCCCCAGTAGTGTGGACGAATGAAAACCCATCGGACGAAACGCTTCCCCTAATGTGAGCAGGGTTAGCATTTGACACCTCACCTGCACTGTATATGAACATCAGTTGTGTTCGCCACCAGGTTGTGTCGAGTACGGGTGGGGTTCATATAACATGTTCAGGGTCTGGTCTTGCGTTAAGCATGAATCGTACTTTACGCCTGAGTAGGTTACAACCAAAGCATACGCACCTTCTGCGTATGCAGCCTTAAGCAGGGATAAATTTGCGTTCAGGGTTATGGCATTGAAAGTAGAGTAAGCTTGCAGTCTAACTTATTAAACTGAGCTTGGTCTGGGTGAGTGCCTCGAGCTACCTTAACAAAAGTGATCGGAAGCAAGCCCCGTAATGGTATAAAGAGTGCGAACAAGTCTTACAGTTGAGGCAAATGCACTCAGAGCGACTGATTTGAGTGTGGGATTGCCTAAAACAAAGTGCTCTGGACGGTATTACTATGCGTGAAGGAGCCCAGTGCTGGCCTTGGCAAAATATCAAAGTGCCCCTCTACGTTTGGGTATACTGTAATCAGGATGGTACAGTACTCGGTGTCATTCGTACGCATTCAGTGTTTTGAGCGTGGTTTTCCCTGCCAATACTAGCACTCTGGGAAGGGAGGGGGACTCGAACACCATTCTGAGAGCAGATCGTCACTTGGTTACTGTCAAAGGTCAAACTGTGGCTGACTCCTCTGGTCACCTGCCACCTGACCCAGAAAAACGTGGCCCCGTACAAACTACCACTTGTTGAAATGTGCTAGTCACTATTTGAGTTATCAAAAGCAGTCGACTCGTAAGAGTCTTTGTTGTGAGTCGCTAAGGAACTGGCGCCATGCAGATCACAGTGTGAGCTATTTACTGCATATTTTGCCGACTGTATCAGCAACTAACGATTACTAGAGTGCCCTGGTTGCAAACCAATTACCCTGAACCTAAGTGCCACCGGCATTTCATCGACTAAGAGAGACTCGAAGAGAAAAAGGGAGGAGGGTTTCTTTGCGTTGCATGAGGGCAAGTTCATAGTCATGAGTGCGGAGTATTGTCGAAACTAAGGCTGCAGGGCTGTGTCATTTCGGTCAGTCAAGGTCAGTGCATGAGTTTTTTTTTAATTGAGAGCAGCTCACCCACGCTCTAACGAATGGTTCAGCAAGTATCGCTCGACACTTCATGAACGTCTGCGGTTGACGAGTGGGTAGTCGGGCGTTACACGGCTCTCGATCATCCGAGACATTGTTGTACCCTGGGTGTTATCTAGTCAACGCCTCCTTTGGCCGGTGTCAAACCAAGTTCCCATCAAGGTCACTATGAAAGAGGAAGAAGTCCTAGTGGTGAAGTACCGATCAAACATGGACAAGAAAATAGGATGGGAAGAAGGAACCCGCCGGTGTCCCACATGCAAGCTCAAAGAGAATTTGCAGTTGGGTTGGCCAAAAGGAAGAAGTACATTGAATATGTGATCTACTTCTATGACCACGATGGCAAATTACACAACACAGGCTCGCTGCTAGAGACCGTGGAGCAGGCCAGGGCAAGGCTCGGATGAGACCAAAGGTGTGAGACTCTTCCCCCGAAGAATCCATTCAGTATCCATCACATCACATGAGTACAGTTCAGTCATTTCTTGTAAGTGGGTCAGTTTTGGCCAGCCTCAAACAGATTGCTCTCAAGGAGGCCTTCCAATATCAATATGTCAGTGCACCAGGTTTCGGACGAGAAGACCTGTCAGTCTTTGTTGTTCTTACTGAGTTTGCAAGAGGTATCATTCATGACCTGAGGGTTTACTTGAAGAAGGGTAAGGAGACCCATGAGCACTTCGATTCAGTCTGGATCTCGGCAATCAGGTACCTTGAAGAGAAAGAGAGAGAATTTGATGAGAATGGTACTAAGCTGATCCGTAGTTTTGGACCAAGGCTCTACACAGATTACCCCAAGCCTCCAGTCCCTTTTACTCTCACTGATGGTTCTTATTGGGATGAACTGGTAGATCTGTCCAGGAGGTACATTTCTCCTGCAGTGATTGACTACGAGGCGGTCATTGAGCCATCCGAGTTTCGACATCTCAGACGAGGGATTTTCTCTCAACCATATCTTCCTACTCTATGGGAGGAGTTTTGTGCTATGGTTGACTTCCGTATCATGGGACTTGGATGGAAGTGCTCAGAACTAGGAGGCTTCAGGTGGCTCTACATCGAGACACTGCAACCTCAAAGGGTACAGAGACTTGGTCGGAAGCACAAGAAACATACAACAAAATCTTACTTCTTAAGTCAACATTGACCGCGGGGGGGAAGTTGATGGTCCGCTGCGCGCCAGATTCGGGTCGAAGTTTCGGTGCGGGCCGGCGGATGAAGGCGATCGAGGGCGGGTGGGCGTGCAGAGTGGCGCGCATACCGAATTGTTCAGAGCGCGCCACTAAACGAGAGAGCGCACCCGCGGGGCCGGGTACACGGTGGGCGCCGATGTGGATGAATATCTCGACGCGCCCGCCGTTGATAGCATTTCCATGTCGGTTTGTGTCCGGCCCCCCTTTTTTTTTTCGTTTTAAAAAAAAAAAAAAAAATGTCGTTTTGTTTCGTTTTTTTTTTTTTTTTTTTTTTTTT